TGAGCTTCCTCCTACTCATTTCCAGTCCTGTACACTTTGTTAATATAGCCTATTTAAAGGTAGCAGGAGGTGCTAGATCACCAACCCCAAACAACTTGTACTAACCCAGGGCGTACATGTAATACAACACTGTTCTGTCAGTGTGGTTCAGCTCTAGTTCAGCAAGTAATCACTAAGCCCATTCTGTCCTTAGGCAAGGCTTAACTGAGGCTGGCAGGGATTGTAGAGGTGTATGATTCTGCACACAAAATCCTTCCAGTACAACACAGCAGCATTTCTTCATGAGCTCTTCATGCACGTTTCAGTCTGGGAAACCACTCCATATCTCATCCTCTCCACCAATGATAACATGAATTATCATCTTTATTAAGATGATACATTTTAAACCAAGGGAAGAGATTTGGTTATCTTAGTAAGATCCAGCCTTAGAATCGTCTCTGATTTTTAAAGGGAACAAAGAAAACCCTATCAATTACAGACACCAGTGCAGTTTCACTAGAGCTGATGTGCCTTAGGGGAGAAAAACAAACAAACAAACAAAGAACCGCACAAAACTATTTCAGTATGGAGAGAAGTGATTTTCATTTATATGTAGTGCTTCCCTTCTGTCTCATCTGGGATGCAAGCAGGTAAAAGCCAGTGAAGAAGAGAGAAGCCACTCCTAATAAAGGGCTATATCTTGGATGAACCAAGCTCCCATGACACATCTGCACACCAAAATATTTCACTCTGACGGGATCTGACCCAACTGAAACTTCAGCATTCCTTATTGCCAAGTTAGAAAGGAATAAGAAGTGTCCCTCCAAAGATAGGTTAATGAGAAGGAGAAATAGCACAACATATGCCAAAAAAGTCAAGCTGTACTACACCTCCTTCAGTTACGTGGAGTTACTTTACAAGTTGGTCTGTTGAGATGCAGGAGCACTGGGTAAAATAATAGAATGTGATATTTAAGGGATTTTGCAGATGGATAATTTATTGTTTAACACCGAATGGATAGCATAGGCAATTTTCCACTAGTACTCTCATTCTAAATTAAATGTTCGCTCAGCCGTATGTGCCCCTTGCATTGTATTCACAGCTGCAACAGCCAGCACGTTCCATTTGTGCCGTGTCTGGTTAGTTACGCAACTCCCATCACTGGATAAAAGCAATGGTTTGCGCAGCCAATATAATTCATATTTAGAGGATTAGATATAAAGTATTCATATTTATGCATGTATTGTTTACAATTTGCAGTTTCATGGAGAAAATACAACTTAGCTCAAAAAAAAAAAGTCAGCACTTTGCTATTGCTGTTATATTTATGGGCTTTTCATAAATTTCCAGATACTTTATTCTGAATGAAAAAACATAGCATTTTTGTACACAGAAATGTACGGTTTATCAAAAGATGATGTATTTGGATAAGAGGAGAAAAATTTATAGGATGTTCCTTTGCCAAAAGTAACATAAACATCTTTTGCCCCAAAAAAATTCAAATCCAAAGAATTTATATCAACACAGCATCTCATTCTGTAGTTGTTACTCACTTGAGCAATTCCCATAGTAGTCAGTCAGTCTGTAAAGTCTGGAGGACTAGACTCACAGTGTCAAACTGAAAATAATATCATAGGAGAAGTTTATCAACTGCGTATTGTTTTAGGAGCTAGGCTAAGGGGAGTTATTAATATATTGCAATATATCTTGTCTTTACCGGAGACTGGGTTCAATTAGATTAAGAGCATAAAAAAAGAGAAAGATTCATGATGGTGAGAAACAAGAGATAAAATAGACAAGATTTGGAACAGCTAAGGAAGCCCTGGGAAAGTGCTAGATAAATGGGCTGTCTTGAAATAAAAAATAACACCTCAAGTACAAGTGGAGAGTATAAGAGAGAGTACTTTCTATTTGAAGTCACTGCTAACCTGGTAAATTCCTATAAAGCAAAATAGGACCAAATATTAGTGCTCACACTGGGTGGCATCACAGGAATCTCCAAAATAGTCAATGTGTTAAGATACCAGCTGGCTTCCATAGCTAAACAATACACAACAAAAATAAAAGTAAAATTTAAAGAAAAAATCTAGTCTTCTTTTCTTTAGACAGTCCCTTCCTGTTAAGAGGATCATTTAGAAGTTGTCCAAATTTCAGAAGATGCAAAAGCACTCACTGTGGCCTCTTTTCTTTCCCACTGAACTTGATGGGAAGTTTATCACTGACTCCAGTTTCAGCACTACTTGACTTCAATTTGAAGCCCCCAAGCCTGATAGTGCATGGAGCAACCTCACACCCCAGGCTCATGTTCTCATCATGATGGCAACAAAGTTGATTCTTCCCTTTTATCTTTGCATGTCAGCCAAAATTACCAATAAATTATCGGCCAATGCTTTCAGTTCAGCTGTCAATTCCCAGCAGTTGTGATTCAAACTAACTGGCACTACTGTAATATTTGAATCTTTCAAAGACAGAATTTGCAAAAATCTGAATAAACAAGGCTATGGAAGGCCAGTGGGAGTACACGCGTGGTGGACACATTACCAGTAGAGATAGTTTAAAAAACTGTACAAGTGAGAAACACGATTAGAATTTTGTAAACTCCAAGGAAGTTTCTTTCTAGTGCAATGGTCTTAAGATCAGCAGAATGTACCCCTCAAACATATATCCCATACCCAAAAAGTCTTTGCGCTCAGAGTATTAAATAGGACAGTTTTCCATACCTTTTTGATTTAATGCTACAGAATCAGTTTACTTTTCAGAAAATTCAGTTTTCTCTTTTGGCATAAAATGCGTTGTAAAAGCTCAGCACATTTCTTGGCCGTCTATCTTAATTGCTCATAAAGATTCTCAGCCAACAGTCAAGTGCTGCTAAAAAACGAACAAAAACCCTACTACATGCTAATTCCCCAGGTTTTTTTATATTTCTAGTCAGTTCTCTCAATGTCAAGCATTAGCCAATGATAATATACATTGGCTTGAAGCCATCATCTTCTTTTTAAGCTTATTGTGACTGTAAGACACTAAGTGGTATATCCCAAAGGAAAAGAGTGGGGAAAACATTGCTGAAAACTATCTGCTAACATCTCTCTGTGTAAAAAGCACTTCCACTTCCAAAAGCACATACTCACTTTGCAGAACATTTAAAAGAGCAAAATTTTGTTAGTCTTAGTTTCTGTAGGAAACAAATTATTTATCTGGCATATAGCCAGATATAAAAATATATCCATGCCATATTTAAAAGCTAGTCTTGGTATATATGCATCTCCAATAATTTCTTGCATCAATAAAATTTTGGTTTACTTGGTACATAGTCTGATCCTGAGTAGCTACTGGGAGATTGTTTCTTTGTTTTTTAAAAAGCTGTGGATTAAGGATGGGAAAATGGGTGCTTATTGCAACTTGTTTTCAAGGCCTAGGCCCAAATTTGGTTACCTTTACTGCATGCCCAAACTTTTGTCCACAAATAAACATACAGAGCCTTTTACTTAAGCAGGAGTTCTATCTGCTGAAATCCTGAATCCTTTATCCCATCATTTCTAACATTTACCTCCCCTCCATTAGCAGTATGATCCCCCATAAATACATCTATGGGGAATTAATTCACATATAATCATATGTCAGTGGTTGATTCTCTAGAGGAAACTTATTGTTTAACTTTTGATACTCTCTCTTTAGCTTGTCTCAAAAGGATATTTGACTTGGGAATAGACTACTGGAGTTATTCTGACTTTTCATAGTTTGGGATTTTCTTGCATTTTCCATTTCTCTCCCTTAAGCAGATTTATTATTGAGTTTAAATAATACATCTAGAGAGTTGGGGTTTTTTTAACACCGACAAAAACAGTTATAGTTTTGCCACATACAATATGAGTGCATTTCGACTGAAAAATCAAAATGGGATGGAAGTAAGAGTAGTAATGATGCTGTTGAACTGCTTGCCTGGAACAAAGGCACACAAGCCAGATAGAGCTCAGTCAGTCGGCCATCACCTGGTGAAGCACAGGGTGATGTGCTTCTGCACATCACATCACATCACTTCTACTGCACCACAATACTTCCACGCTGTTGTAAGTTGAGGTCTGCCTGCCCACACGTCTCCTTCCTTACACAGTATCAGGCCAAACTAGGGAGGATGAAATGAGAATGACTGCAACAAACCTAACCTCTCCACAACTCACGTAGCCAGTTTGAACACCAGGAAGGCCTGGACTAAAGCACAGGTTTGGCACCATCCTTGGGTTACTGTTTAAACATATGGGGGAACCCAAACGGCAATAAATAAAGTTTATTTACTTTCAGGTTTTTAATGAGTAAATTTTTAGTGCTTATTGTGATGGTTTTCTATTTCAACAATTTATTAGATATTAAAGCCAACAAGACTGCCATATATGCCCAAGCTTCTGCCTGCTAAAAAGCCACATCTTTGATGAAAATCCAGTGCCTCGCTAAGAATCCCCCTCTGAATGAGTCTCTTCCTCCCTCTGCTCCAAATCAGTTTTTTGGGATGCTGACTCATCCCACAGACTAAAGCACACTCTACGCTACAAAAGCATGCTCCTCTGTTTCACTCTTGCCCAAAACTTTATCTGCAAAACCTTGGAGTCTTTTCAGACCTAGTAACAAAACACAATTCCTCTGTTCTGCTTGGAGCCCAAATTTTTGAGTTTTCACATTCGTCCTTGTGCACTGAAGTTCTTTCAGCATCAATCAATTCATGATACAAAGAATCTTTCCAGGAATAAGCAGTCAAAATTACCATTATGCAACATACATCATTGACTCCAGCAGGATATTCCCCAATAGCAGGGAAACGATGGCCTAGTGACTCCCCCAGAGTCAGTTACTAACAGCTCCAGAAATCAGTCTAATAAATGGGTTGTCCATAAGAGCATGAATTCGTGCAATAGATCTGTCACAGGCTGTCTCTTAGGGCTTTGAACACCCTTAGTTTTGGCATCTGCATAACCACACTTTGTAAATCTCACTTTTCACAACTGACACGTTCTTTCTCTCTCTGATGTACAGAATTTCACTTGAACCAGAGCAGCCCAACCAGTGAATTCCCCAGCTACAGTGAAAACGGAAGTGATACCAGTTTACTTGTTTCACCCCTTCTGGTGGCTGGAGTAGTGATCGGACTTGTGCTATTTCTATCCTGTGTTACAATCATTGTTGGCAGTCTGCGAAAGGATGGACGGTTAAGACACCCACATCTGAGGAGAGATGCTGTTTATGGTAAGATAGCTAGTTATAGCAAGATAATACTTACCTTTATTAATATCTGGTGCTATGGGCAACAAAAAGCATCTGGCTGCTGTGCAAGGGATTAAAAAAAATAAAATAATTAAAAAATAGGATGAGTAGGTCACAGGCAGCTTTGTAGTTTAATAGCATCTTTATGCTGGCACTGAATTCACATAGTACAAGCTCCATAGTTAATGGTTAATATAAACAAGGCCAGTGCCGACAGCATTTCTTAAAGAGTTTATTTTCCCTTGATACAGTATAAGATTTCTTCTCCATTGCTAGATTCCTGGTAGTTTTATTTCCATATCCCATTATAGCCTTGGTATAGCATATAATGTAATTTCTATTTGTCGGAATGTCAGGAATTTTTTCACTTCTGCAGCATGCACCAACCTACAACAATGACTGGCAATTACTTCTTTTCTGACCACAAAAGTTAATAACTGGATGTAAATAGAACAACAGGGTATCAAAATGTCATTACAACTGTCATAATCATTAAAGAGACTGGTTTGCTACCAAAAAAGTGCCAACTCCTGTCCCCCTACCGCCAACAAAAATCCCCCGTACTTTAAAAGGATTTGAGAATATGAAGGAGTTATTTGTAGAATTATATTTTTGGCCAATTTTGGGTTTGCTGACCAGAAGTTAAAAGCCACTTTGTCAAGGAAATGACAGAATCTGATTATTTATATATTTAAGGAAAAAACAGTTACACAAAGTTACTTTGTAAGTTTTCAGCTAGTAAAAATTCAAATTATAAATGGATTAATTAACTGAGTGGAGCATCAACAATTTTTGTCATCTGTGGTTAAGCTCCTATGTCTGCAGTTTGTTATGAGAGTACAGTTCTTTGCATATTGTTGAGGTTTTCTTCTTTATATAGATAAGATAATAATAGTGAGCCACATAAAAATGCATTGGCTCAAATCTTGATTTCACTGAGGTAAATCAAGTATCTAACTGACTTTATTTAATTATTTTCACGTCTAAAAGAAACACATTTCCTAGCATCATTTTGTCCACCTGGAGCCAGGAATAATTATTTTGGGCTTTCCCAGAAACATTTATCCAGATAAGTGAATAACGGCTATGTTTTGGCAGCAAATTTTAGACTCCAAGTGAAATGCAAACTCCCATGGTAACGTACAGAGGGGGAAAAGGAAAAAAAAAATTCAAAAAAACTAATGTCTATTATTGTAACATCTATTTTTCCTACTTTTCAGCAGGTAAATTTGGGATTAAATAGTTAAACCCAAATTGGAGTTACTGTTTTACCCATGAATATTTTGGCATGACAAAGTACTGACCATTAGGATTCAATCACTACATTTAACTGCACTGCTATGTTAATTTCAGTTCCTTTAAAAACCCTGAAGCCAGGCAAAAACATAAAGGACCATTTTCAAACTGCTTGTTAGAAATAACAATGCGAGAGAAATGGAAAAAGAAAAGCATGGTGATATTTTCAGAGAAATTAAAAAGAATAATCTTAAACGAAATTGTGCCAGTCTACCCAAGTGAAAATTTTACATTAGCACACGCCATCCTACTATCTCAGCATGCTTCCACTGGCCAGCATGGGAGCAGCGGGAGTCACTGTGAAGTTGGCTTCCTTCACTTATCAAGCAAAAGGAAAGCACAGTGCATGATAGACTGGATTAGTCCTGGTAAATTCCTGGGGGATAAATTGGCAGAAGTGAAAACTGCCAGAAGGAGGAACAGGCTGTTCAAGTGAGTCCTGCCTTTTACCCTCTACTGAGAGAGGCACTACTTTGATGTCACTTTAGAAGCTGGCCCTTCTCTCCAGGTACTATTTTAATGCATCAAGTGAAAAGGAGGAATCACTTTATTTGGAAGACAACTGCAGGGGCTAGGGGGTGGGAAATTGCTGCATTTCCACAATTTGGGACATTCTTATGGAAATTTACCCCGGAATGTTGAGCATTAACTAACTATGCTCAAAGACAGAAAATAGCACTACCTTCTTGCTATTTCTGGAGCTACGAAACTCTTGTGAAAGCATTAAGAAAGCCCTGGAGCAGGCAGCAAGATGATTTTTTTCTACTATTTTCCAGTTTTTCCCCTTTTTAAGAGTGTTTTATTGAGAACAGCATTTTCTCAAGACACATACCTACAATCAAACATGTAAGCCTCCTTTTAAAACCTTCACAGAATTGGTAAGTTTTCAACATATGCGACTCCTGGGAACTTCAGCAATCCTGCTAATGTTTGAAGCTGCATGCAGCAGAACTGCCACTCTCTTTCAACCTTTGAGGCACAAGAAAAGCTTTAGACACTTGCATCTTGTAGGGCAGCACTAACTGTATAGTCCCTGTGCCGTAGCCTGAAACACCACAGTTTGTCTACAGATGACGCCAACTTGCTCTTAAAGGAATAGAAATGCCCTGTGAAACCTGATTGTTCCAGAATACCAGTAATTCCTCTGCCTCAGATAGGTTTTATTTTCTTATTTATGGTAGTGTTATAAACAGTGATATTGTGTCAGAGAATCTACCATGGAGAAAGAGAGCAGCACGTATTAATTGCTTGTTTTCCAGCTCCAGATGGCTTCTCTTATGGTGGCTCTTTTGGAGAGCTGAGATCCACCTGTATGGAGGAGTTTCCCCCAGCTTTTGATTTTGGTTCCTATCTGGATACACTTTCTCAGGTCAACGTCATGTATCCTGATTCACCTCCACGGTAAGCACTTTCCTGAGATTCCAAGTGTTATAGTCCTGCACTTGCAAAGCCTGTTAAAGAAGAAAATAAAACTGCTAGACCTATACCCACTACAAAAATGCAGGTCACGCAAACTCTAAGTACAGACAGAGTTTATTTAGTTTAAGTTCAAGTTTTCCTTAGCAGAATGTATCTTTACTAAATAAAGGCATGTGTACAGCCAATTCTCATTTACTAATATTCACATTAAAATTTATCATATTGATGCCATACTAATGAAACACACAAGTTAAATCACTTCTGAATATCTTTCTTGGAAAAAAAAATTATTTTACAAGTCAAAGTTTCACTTCCAGGAGAAAAATATATACCTTTTTCAAGAACTTTCAGGTTACATTTATTACTGACCTTGAGACTGCTTGGATCAGAGTAAACAGAAAAAACAAAAGGGGGGGGGGGGGGGGGGGGGGGGGGGGGGGGAGAAAGGAGTTTTCTCAGGCACTAGGCATTCTTCAAAAGGGGGAAGAGGACAAAAATGTTGTTGGGCGTGGGGTGGGGCAAGTGCAAGAAACCTTTAAACCTTTCCATATTTTTCAGCAAGTCTCACTTCTCGGCTTTCTTAACCGTGGCATTCTATCAGAAAGCAGAACTGAAGAAAACATACCATTCTGACATACCTAGTAGTTGTACTTAACCTCCTAATTTAGGATAGGGAGAAAATTGTTTGGGATTGTTCATCTTATATCAGTAATCTGTGAAGGAGGACAACTACCATTTTAGCTGTTTAACCCAAACCTGCTCTAGAGAGCCATAGTTGCCTGGATTGTAGTAGCATCTTTGGAGAAGAACGTCCTTCAAATATCAGGCAGTTCTAATTGCCTGGGGAGGCAACACCACCAGAAGAGGCTCTTTCCAAATACAGTTATTGCAGAAATTATATAGCAGCTCCTTCCACATTTGTGTGCCTGCATTCACAGGGTACAAGAACAGCCATCACGAGTGACAAGAGTCGCACTTTAGGCCATCTGTATCTCCTCTGCGTGCCTCATGCACCTCGAGGTTAATAAATGAAGGAATTCAGTTACTCCCTCCAATGAACCAACAGAAATTGTTTTAAACCAAACATCACTTCAGGCTTTCTGTAGTGCTGTATCTTACAAACAGCAGATAACAGCTGAACAGCCATGCTCCCTCCCTTTTTTCTTTCTTTTCTTCCTTTTAAGCAGACTCTGTTTTGAGTTAAACCATTATACTCGTAAGACCAGCCCTTTTCTGACTGCTTGTATACATATAAAATATACAGCAAGTCAGTAGTATGAACGTACAACATACAGACCTTTGCTTTTTCTATTCTATGCATGTTCTACATGTAGGGATGGGGTCAGAACGCCAAGGCGCAGCTGGAGCTGAACTTGGCAAGGGATGCAAATAATAATAAGAAGGGCTTCTACAGGTATGTCAGCCAGAAAAGGAAGGTCAAAGAAAGCGTACCCCCCCTTGATAAGCAAGACTGGCAAACTGGTAACAACGGACAAGGAGAAGGCTGAGGTACTCAACAACTTCTTTGCCTCAGTCTTCACTGGCAACCCCTCTTCCCACACCTCTCGAGTAGATGGACCGCAAGACAGGGACTGGGGGAGCAAAGTCCCTCCCACTGTACGAGAAGATCAGGTTCGAGACCACCTGAGGAACCTGAACATACATAAGTCTATGGGACCTGACGAGATGCATCCCGGAGTCCTGAGGGAATTGGCTGATGTAGTTGCCAGGCCGCTCTCCATGATATTTGAAAAGTCATGGCAGTCAGGTGAAGTCCCTGGTGACCGGAAAAAGGGAAACATTGCACCCGTTTTTAAAAAGGGTAGAAAGGAGGACCCCAGGAACTACTGACCTGTCAGCCTCACCTCTGTGCCTGGGAAGATCATGGAACAGATCCTCCTAGAAGCTATGCTAAGGCACATGGAGGACAGGGACGTGATTCGAGACAGCCAGCACGGCTTCACCAAGGGCAAATAGTGCCTGACCAACCTAGTGGCCTTCTATAATGGAGTGACTACGTCAGTGGACAAGGGAAGAGCTACAGATGTCGTCTGTCTGGACTTCTGTAAGGCCTTTGCCACAGTCCCCCACAACATCCTTCTCTCTAAACTGGAGAGAGATGGATTTGATGGGTAGACTGTTTGGTGGATGAGGAATTGGTTGGATGGTTGCATCCAGAAGGTAGTGGTCAACATCTCAATGTCCAGATGGACATCAGTGACAAGTGGTGTCCCTCAGGGGTCTGTAGTGGGACAAGTACTGTTTAATATCTTCATCAATGACATAGAGAGAGGGATTGAGTGCACCCTCAGCAAGTTTGCAGATGACACAAGCTGAGTGGTGTGGCTGACATGCCTGAGGAATGGGATGCCATCCAGAGGGACCTGGACAAGCTCAAGAAGTGGGCCTGTGTGAATCCCGTGAGGTTCAACAAGGCCAAGTGCGGGGTCCTGCACCTGGGTCGGGGCAATCCCTGGTATCAATACAGGCTGGGGGATGAAGGGATTGAGAGCAGCCCTGCGGAGAAGGATTGGGGGTATTGGTGGATGAAACGGTGGATGTGAGCCAGCAATGTGTGCTTGCAGCCCAGAAAGCCAACTGTATCATAGAATTGTTAAGGTTGGAAAAGACCCTTAAGATCATTGAGTCCAACCGTTAACCTATCACTGCCAAGTCCATGCTGTATCCTGCATCAAAAGAAGGGTGGCCAGCAGGTTGAGGGAGGTGATTCTGCCCCTCTACTCTGCTCTGCTGAGACCCTACCTGGAGCACTGCGTCCGGCTCTGGAGCCCTCAGCACAGGAAGGACACGGACCTGTTGGAGCGGGTCCAGAGGAGGGCTCCCAAAATGATGAGAGGGCTGGAACACCTCTCCTATGAGGAAAGGCCAAGAGAGTTGGAGTTGTTCAGCCTGAGGAAGAGAAGGCTCCGGGAAGACCTTATTGCAGCCTTTCAGTACTTAAAGGGGGCTTATAAGAAAGATGGGGACAGACTTTTTAGCAGGGCCTGTAGTAATTGGACAAGGGGTAATGGCTTTAAACTAAAAGAGGGTAGATTCAGACTAGATAAGAGGAATACATTTTTTATGATGAAGGTGGTGAAACACTGGAACAGGTTGCCCAGAGAGGTGGTAGATGCCCCATCCCTGGAAACACTCAAGGTCAGGTTGGACGGGGCTTTGAGCAACCTGATCAAGTTGAAGATGTCCCTGCCCATTGCAGGGGGCTTGAACTAGGTGACCTTTAAAGGTCCCTTCCAACCCAAACTATTCTATGATTCAATTACAAAGTCATACTATATAATAAATGGGCTTTTAGAGATGGTGTAAATATTTTAGCAGAAAGCTCACATGTGAAAAATTATTGAGCCTGGCATCTAAATTTGTAGAACTTCATATAAAACCACTTAAAAATTTAGACTGGTTTTTGGACCCACACCCACGAGTCTTTACTAATAAAAGCCAGCCAGCTGACACCCAAGCAACAGCTTGAGTGGGCAGTTGGCCAGATTTCTGAGAACAAGCTCAGACTCCTGTGAACAAGCTCTGAGAACATATTTCTTTAGCAGACAGGTCTCCTAAGATTAAACCAAAGGTTGCTTCCATTTCCAGTTTGAAACAGGCCCAAAGAAGGAATTTCCACCTCTGTGGAGCTCTCTGTTTGGAAGGAGACACGAGTGATACAGGATAGCACTAGATGATCTGTGCTTTCATGTAAATTCTCCAGCTACTTCGGTAATAAGCCTGGCACAAGTTAACTGTCTTGTGTCCTACCTTGTTCCAGGAAACTATTCTGGGACATCAATACTAGCATCAGAGAGACATAAAGGTGTCCAACCACTGCCCCCTCAAGATTCCCCTCTGGGCTGACTGGACTGTGTCCCTGAGGGGCCCAAGATCTGACTCTGCATACACAAGGAAACACTGCTCATCCCATTAATTGCAGATCTACATGACAGGTTAAAAGTAAAGATTATTGTTAATGGTTTTGCTGTTTTCTCACTGCTACTATAGTTAAATATTTTAGAAAAAGTAGCTTTGGCAAATCATTAAAATCTTACTAACTTTTACATCTTAGCAACACAACTTGGAGAAGACTTCAGGAAAAGCAGAGCTTAGCAGATGGCTGAAAGCAAAGCTACGTGGAGAGACATTTAAACTTACTATTAATACATTATATGGTCCATTGTAACTTTCTGTTCAGAAAAGCATTGGTTGAGAAGCATTGTATGAATACATTGCATTATGCAAGAGGCTGAAAAATTCCTGTATAGCTACCTTTACACTCTCCTCCATGGCATAACACTAAAGTGTGTTTTTTCTAATTAATAGAGCATGGAGATTATTTGGACTGATGGGTGCTAACAGCAGGAAAACTGACTGTCAGACGTGGCCTTGAAGCATAAACAAGACATGCTTGACCTGGTGCATTTAAAATATTAACTCACTGGGATCAGTCTTGTTACAGATGATAAAGTTTTGAAGAGTAGGTTTACTGAAATGTAGCACTGGCTAAATTAATGCAATTCCTCCTTCTAATTCATGCAGTGCAAGATGTAATTTAAAGCTAAACTAGCATGCCCAAAAGCTAATAATGCAACTGTAGCATAAACAGAACAGAAATGAAGAGCAGCAAGGAAAGCAACTGCATTGGCAAATGACTCTCAACACATATTTGAAGTGAAAGAATTCAGTGACTGAAAAGTAGTGTCCTGCTGCCACGAGCAGACACCAAGGCATTAGCTTCATTTAACAGCATTGTTCTAATACAGCCTGCAAGACACAAGAGTATTACATCACTGCATACTAGGTGCTGCGGAGCCGAGTATTCTTGAACATACTATTTTTGCTAAGACCATATTTTCTGAAATTATTTCAGTAGAAGGCGTGACACCTCTGTTTGGCCAAGGGGGTGATTATAATCAGTCTAGAATGTTTTCATTAGATTTTATGGTTGGGCTTTAAACCATTAAATGAGTGGGAAA